GGAGTTAGTAGGTCACGGTTGGCAGGTCTGCTGGCCGTTAAGAGGACAGGATGGGGGGCTTGGGTGCCATAAGTACCCTCCAAGGCGGAAGGACCTGCCAACACTTGCCATCAAGGGTCACACCTTTATGGGTATTTGGGGCAAGGTACAGGATGCCGACCATTGAACCAGATCCCAGGAGAAAATTGGAGACTCCAGCAGTTACCCCAATGTACAGTCTGGGATCCCCCCAAGCCCTGGGCTCTTACCAACCTGCGCCTAATACTCTCTGGAATTAGGTAAGCAGGATGCATCCCTCCAGAGAGAGAGAGAGAGTGCGGATTTTCATGTGTAGGTGAATTCTCAGTTTGGTTCGGATACTCTTAAGCACGGTGATGGGTTCCCGCATGTGTCAGGCACTCAGCTGGCCAACAAACAGGTGAGGAGATGGGGCGGGTGGGGGCTGGGTGGGGGGCGAATGGAGAGAGAGAGAGAGAGTGAGAGTGAGAAATGTTCTAACTTTGCTGTTATTCTGCTTTTACTCCCAGTTAATCTTGCTTCAGGGAATCTCACAATGTCCCACGAGCCAACAGTGGTGGAAAGCTCCATCGTGAAGCTGATGATCATTTTTAAGGAGGCGGCTGGAGCAGAAGTCAGAGATGGAAAGACACGCTACTCTCTGGACGTGAAAGAGCTCAAAGCTCTGCTCCAGAGCCAAATCCCCAACTTTTTGAAGGTAATGAGGAACACTGACAGTGCCCCCTTGTGACACCAGCTGAGCATTCCCTTGGCTTGCCTGTTGCACAGAACAGGAGCCTCCTACGTTCGATGCCTACTCGGTTAACCCGCGAGAGAAAGTCAGATAAATAATAATAGTTGCACGCAGCAGTGAGCGTCCCACAAACGGTCGTGAATTGAGCGACCAAATTATTATTTGTTTTTAGAGGAATTAGTAGGCTCGGAAAAGCGATCCGCCAATCGACAAACATCGGGGTTCCTACTTACTATTAGGTAAACAGAGGCGTGCTTGGAGTAAGGAAAGTTGTCTAAGGTTTCACCCCGGGAATCAAAGCCAGGACCTCTCGCTTGCGAGGCGAGAGCGCTAACCACTACGCTACGGAAAACCAGACAGCTGTTCGTGTGCTGAGCGGTTAAGAACTTTCACGAGGAGCGAGAGAAAACCATCTAACACTTCTCTTGCTCTGCCTTGAAAGGGTGCATCAGCAGCACAGATCGAAAGCATCTTCTCCAAAGTGAATTACAACAAGAACGACGGTGTGGATTTCTGTGAATACATGGCGATGCTGACCAAACTGGCCCTGGAATCTGACACAACCTTGGAGGCATAGAAACGGAGCTAAAGAGAGAGCGAGAATACCCTGTATGGCAAAGTCTCTGTGTAATGGCATGGACATGTGAGGCCTCTTGTTAATCTGGTTCTAAATAATAAAATAAATAAGCAATAATTAACTGGATCTCTGTTCTTCATTTGCCGGTGGGAGATTTCAGGAGGAAATTGAGTGCTTCCTTACACTGTCAGTCAAATAAGAAAATAATAATAAGAATAATAATCCTTGCATTTGATAGACCGCTTCATCATGTTTTCAAGACATCTCAACGCGCTTCACAGGATACACTGCAAAGTATTTTGCACTATAAAGTATTTTTACTAATTGCAAAGAACAATTGCAATTAGCTACACTCCCCCCACCCCCATATGTGTCATCTCAAATATCCTCAGACACGTTGCCTGTTATACCCACTTCCTTTTTTACGCCAATTTTACACCTTTCACATCATGAGGATGTCTCACAAGATCCCATGTGTTTTAACCTTTGAAACCTTTAACCCTTTCTCCCTCTCCCCCCCCGCCCCCCCAAAAGGTCACAGGTCATTAAATGTGGGCCAATTACTCACTGTCACTGCCCCCACCCCCCTCCTCCAGCCATTTACACTCTGACACCCCCTGAGACCACAGTCGGAGACTTTCTTGTCAATGGGAATAAATAAAGGCAAATAATCTGCAGCAAATGGGAGAAAATTACCCCCAGAACCAACATCCTGTCCACTGTGTCTGGTCACACTTCCTTCATGTCCATGGGGGGAGGGGTGTGTGATCAGACACACTTCCTGTTCATGGAAGTGTGATCAGACAGACTTCCTGTTCATGAGGGAGGTGTGATCAATGTACTTCCTGTCCAGGGTGAAGGAGGGAATCACCTGGTCAGGACAAGCTACCTTTATATAGTGCCTTTCACATAGAGTAACATCTATAATAATAATCATCGTCCTTCTCTCTGTGGGCCTCACAAAGATGGTGAGGTTGGAAGGTGGTGATCATTGATATGGTCAAAGAAGTAGTTTCTTTTCTGAAAACTCAAGGGACTGGGAGCTCTAAAATCTGAGGATCCAGCAAGCAGAGCAGACCATATCCTCAATTTTATTCCCCTCGCTCCCAGCTCTTAGCTCGTGTGTTACATCGGGTGGAATCATATATGATTTTTTTTTCCTGAACTACCACTTATTTCACTTTCTGAAACAAGTGATAGAAAGAACATCTGTTTTATCCTGAACTCTAGTCTTTTGTTGACAGAATCCTGTAGACTGTAATAATCTGTAGTCATTTTTTGGGGTTAGCCAGGTGTCTGACACATGTGGAAACCCATCGCTTAAAAGTATAATAATAATAATCCTTGCATTTTATATAGCGTTTTTCATGTCTTTGAGACGTCTTAAAGCGCTTCACAGAATATACTGTAAAGTGAATTTGACTGTGTATTTTGTGGGCGAAACACGACAGCCAATTGCACACAACAACGTCCCCACAAACAGTCGTGGATTGAAGGGACAATTCTATTATTGTTTTTTTCTCTCTTGAGAGGTATTACCAGGGGTGTGGAGCAAGGAAACTTGGCCAAGGTTTTGCCCTGCCGGGAATCGAACCCGGATCTCTCCCTTGCGAGGCGAGTGTTCTATCCACGGTATCCAAACCAAACTGAGAATTCCCTGCATCCCACCTACACATGGAAATCCTCAAAATAGATTGTTTGAATGGAATGCGCTCTCTCTCCCTGGAGTGACCCGTCCTGCTTACCTAATTCCAGAAAGTATTAGGTTGGCAAGAGGCAAGGCTTGGGGAGAGCCCAGAGTGTGCGCTGGGGTAACTGTTGGCGTCTAATCAATTAAGACCACATAGCTTGCCGTTGATATCGCTGTGTGGCAAGCTTTCCCGCTGCTTTCCCAGTTAGGACCACCCTTCTGATTAGGGCTTTGGGTTGCAGGGTTAACAAAAGCTGAGTGAGATGACTCCCACTTCTGTGATAGGTTCGCCAGTTGGAAGTTTCCAAACCCGTGTCTGTGCCGGAAGGAAAGCAGATATTGCCTTTCACCTGGAGAACGGTAGAGGGAACAAGCGAGCAAGGAAATGTTTCACGGTTTAAAGTAGGACCATTCCAAATATCAGCAGTTGGTGTCAGCCTCGTTCAGGGTCAGAAACAACAACAACAACAACAAGATTACATTTGTATAGCGCCTTTCACATCGGGAGGACGTCCCAAGGTGCTGGACAGAGTGCAGCATTTCAGACCCGAGCTGGGGTTGGGGGGGGTCGGGAGAGAAGGGGAAGGGCGGTGGCCAATGGCATGGTCGAAGAGGAGGGTCTTGAGGTGGTACTTGAAGGAGATTAAGGAGGGGGCGAGGCGGAGTGATTGGGGGATAGAATTCCAGAGGTTGGGGGCAGAGTGGCTGAAGGCTCTCCCCCCAATGGTGGGGCAGGTGGGGCAGGGGACGTGGATCAGCCAGAGCCGGCTGAGGGGAGGGAACAGGCAGGTTGGTAGGGGGTTAGGAGGTCGCAGAGATGGGGCGAGACCATGGAGGGCTTTGTAGGTGAGGACCAGGATCTTGAACTGGATCCTCTGAAGCATAGGGAGCCAGTGAAGTTGGGCGAGAGTTGGGGAGATGGGATCACGCAGTTTGGTGCAGGAGAGGACATGGGCGGCAGAGTTCTGGATTATCTGCAGCCTGTGGAGGGAGGAGTTGGGAAGGCCGACACCCAGGGCATTTGCATAGTCGAGCCTGGAGGTGTTGAAGGCATGAACAAGAGTTTCAGTGCCTGAGAGTGAGGTAATGGCGGAGTCGGGCAATGTTATGGAGGTGAGGGAAGGCAGAGCGGGTCATGGCTTGGATGTGGGGGAAAAAAGACAGTTGAGGGTCGAACAAGACCCCAAGGTTCCTGACTGGCTTGGTGAGTTGTAGTGTGCAACCATGGAGGTTGATGTTGCCAGAGCCTGAGGTGCAGAGGCGCTGGCGTGAGCCAATCAGGAGGGCCTCAGTCTTGTTCACATTCAACTGTAGGAAGTTTGCCCTCATCCCGGACTTGATGCCTGACAGGCAGTCTGTCAGGACAGCAGTGGTCCTGGAGTTGACGGTGGAGGCAGAAAGATAGAATTGGGTGTCATCCACATACACTTGGAAGTTGACCCCATGTCTACGGATGATGTCACCAAGATGGAGCATGTAGATATCAAAGAGGAGACAAGGACAGAGCCCTGGGGGACGCCAGACATGACAGTGCGGGGGCTGGAGGAGAAACCGTTAGAGGCAATGAAGTGGAGATAGTGAGAGAGATAGGAATCGAACCAGGCAAGGGCAGATCCATGAAGATTGAGTAAAGCGGAGAGGCGGTGTATGAGGATGGAATGGTTGACAGTGTCGAAGGCGGCAGAGAGGACAAGGAGGACAGTTATGAGTTGACATCCCATGTTATGTTAGGACTTGAGTTCTGCTGCGTCCTCAGATTATTTTTTTGAAGGAATTATTACCCTCGGAAAAGCGATCTGCCAACTGCCAATCTTGATCTAAGGGGATCAGGAAGGGATTCGGACAAATGAAGGGGGGAGAATGAAATTTAGGTGTTATAACTGCAATCACAAAGCTATGAGTCGCCATGTGATTGAACGGGGAGCTCAATGCTCCAATTTACCTTCCCCCCCGCCCCCCAAAAAACCCGAAGAGGCTATTCATCATTGAATAATTTTTATTGAACTGTCCAATTAGGTCAAACAAAGCAATACAGTAACAGGTGAACCATGTTTGATGAGCTACCGAAGCAGAGTACAATGGATCACTTACATTTCTGTTTAGTTGGGATGGGACACCCCTGCAATTTGCTGCTCTTCAATACCATGAGGACGGTTAACAGGTTTATAAACTCCACAAAAGTGATGATTCCATCCTGATTTGTGTCCAATATTTTCATGTGTGATTTCATCTTTTCCAAGTGATCTGGTGCCTGAAACATAGAGTACAAGAAAGTCACACTATTTCTGCTGCACATGTGACAACAATCCTTGCATTTGATATAGTGCCTTATCATGTCTTTGAGATGTCACAAAGCGTGAACTAAAAATGTGTGAACTAAAAAAAGAAATCCTCAGTCTCAGGCCAAAGTGAATGGACACGATAGTTCTTGGGCAAAACACGGCAGCCAACTACACACAACAGTGACCGACACTCAGTGGATTGATTTGGACAGATTATTACCTCCGGAAAAGCGATCTGCCAATCGAGTAAGAACTGGGTTCCAACTTACTGCTGGATGACAAGAGTCGTGTGGAAAGTTCTGCAATGTTTCGTCCTGCCCGGAATCGAACCTGGGTCCTCTCGCTTGCGAGGCAAGTGCTACATACTAGTATCTAACGTAGCTGTTTGTAAAAACAAAATTACCTGAACATTGGCAAACAATTCCTTTTCGAGCAGTTCTTTAGCTTCTGAATTGGTCAGAGTGTTTTTGCAGCCAGCATAGTTACGAAAAATATCAACGATACCCTTCATCAGCTTTTGGAGTTCAGAATGCTCAGCAAAAGACATTTCGGTGATGATAAGTGCAGAAGTGACTGGGGTCAGCTAGAGAGGGGGAGAAAGGGAGAAATAAAATAACACTTTCAAAATAAAATGTCCACCAAAGGCGGTCGGCAGAAAAAGATAAAAATCAAAAGCCAAGAATTCTCAGAACTTACAAAAAAATGATTTTTTTAAAAAAAAAAAATTTCAAACCAACGGTGATTTAATTGAAGCCAATCCAAGTCCACAAAAAAAGATTGGCGAAGGGGACGGAAATGAGTCACTGAACCGTAAAACTTTACATTTAAAAAAAAATTAGGATTAAGACACATTTCTCCTCCTCCTCCCCACACTTTTTTAAAAAGAATAAAAATGAAAGAAAAGTGAAATTTTTTTTAAGAAAAATGATTGAATCGAATACGTATAAAAAAAAAGACTTTTTTTTTAAAACAAAGAAAACATATGTGGTATTGGTTAAAAAAAATCTTTGAAAAAAGAGAATCAACTCATCATTTATCCAAAAAAAACAATATATATATATATATGTTGATCGTACATATATCTATATTTACGTTTATCTCAGACAGTATCTGACGCTGTTACAGAAGAGAAGGATCAACTCATCACCACCTTGAAAATGCAATGAAGATGTTCAGCTGCTCAGTAAAAGTCATCTGTTTTGTGCCCCTTTATACAGCTGAGGGTTGGGGTCCACCCATTCTCCGCCCACAAATATTACCCAACCCCCATTGGTCCTTTACGTAAAGTGGGGCGGGGTCTGAGCCCCAAAGGCACGCCCATTTATGGAAGACCACCCCCTCTCCCACTAGCCGCTCCCCTCCAAGCCACCCGGGTAGAAAACTCAGAATTGGAGTTAAAAATGGGAAGGTTTCGCCCCCCCCCCCACCCCCCACCGTTCTTGAAGAGAAAACGTTTCCCCCCAAAAAAATTTATTTTTCAATATATTTTACAGAGATGTTGCTTTGCTCGTTCATAATTAATAATAATGATAATAATAATCTCTGCATTTGATACAGCGCCTTATCACGTCTTCGAGACGTCTCAAAGCGCTTCTCAGGATTATACTGTAAAGTGAATTGATTGTACATTTTTGTGGGCGAAACGCGGCAGTCAATCGCTCACAGCGACGTCCCCACAAACAGCCTTGGATTAATATCATTTTCATTAACATAATTGGTATAATATTCCTATAATCTAATAAACAATACTGTATTATATGAATGTAATATCATTTATTCTGTGATATAATTTATATTAATATTATTTATAACAACAAGTAAAAAGTTTCAAAACTTTTTAACAAACTTTTCTCATTTGAGTACAATTGGAAGGCGGGGGGTGGGGGGGGGGGGGGGGGGTGGGGCGAGGACGGTGGGCGGAATGGATCGGCCCATCTGTGTGACCAATGATGGTGGGAGACCCGAGGAGTAGGTGGGGTTGAATCCATCTCCTGTATATAAGGTGGAGGCAGTGCCTATTTCAAACTCACCAGCTCAACAACTTCACTGTACTGTTAGGTAAGAGTAAGTGAGAGCAAATGAGTTAGACGTTGGATCAACTCTTAGTTCACAATTGGCTGATGCCTTTGAACCGACCGCTTCAATTTTCCAGGGATTCGTAATTTCTGTTTAATAAGGATACGTATTGACTGTATATTTAGTTGTTTAGACACCACCTTGGGACGTCCTCCCGACGTGAAAGCCGCTATACAAATGTAATTTGTTATTGTTGTTGTTTTGCAAGCTTGAAAGTGATTTTGTTTTTACCTCCCACCCCTTCTCCATGTCGCTCTCTCTCTAGTGATAATCTGCAATCTGACCACAATGTCTCAGCTGGACAAACTGATGGACAAGATCATAGATCTGTTTCAGCATTATGCTAAGAAGGAAGGATGCATCTACACTCTGAACAAAGCGGAAGCTAAGGAATTAATCACCAAGGAATTTTTGGGAGAGTGTAAGGTATGTTTTGCATTAAAAATTAACTGATGATCCATACCCCTGACCGTCCAGCACCTGGGAACATCCTCCCAACGTGAAAGGCGCTTTACAAATGTAATTTGTTGTTGTTCTTGATGTAGTGTAGTGGTTAGAACACTTGCCTCGCAAGCGAGAAGACCTGGGTTCGATTGCCAGGCAGGGCAAAACGTTAGCCAAGTTTTCTTACTCCATACGTCTCTATTTACCAAGTAGCAAATAGGAACCTGGTTGTTAGTCGATTGGTGGATCACTTTCCAGGGGTAACAACCCCTTCAAAAAAATAATAATGATAATAATCATTTGGCACTGGTGCTGCTTTCTAACCTCTGTCTTTTGTGTACAGGAAAAAAACACACAGCAGAAAATGGAGCAATATATGACACAATTGGATAATAATCAAGATGGTGAGGTGTCATTCATAGAGTTCATGAGTCTGGTCTCCATCTTCACTGTATTCACAAACTACGATTTAATGGGATGTCAGGTTCCTGCACCACCAAAGGGAAAATGCTGAAGCCATTCTATTGTAGATGGCTGTTGGTAGCGTTTCAAACGTTGTTCATTGATGTCTGCAGCTGTCATACCTCTTTCTTGTTCTGACCCTTATGACAGTTCAATAAAAGATGTTTAACTGTTGAATTTTCTCCTCGTGCTTTTTTCCCCCATGTGTAAAGTCGCACTCGGAGTTAACATTAATATAATAATAATAATCCTTGCATTTCATACAGCCCCTTATTCGTCGTTGAAACGTCTCAAAGCGCTTGACACTGTGCACTCACGTGGGGAAAAAGAATCAGAGACAAATGAAATGGTCTGCTAGAGCGTGAACCCAGTCAAAAACGGTATCACTTTGAAAGGGAATTAAACCTGTATTTCATGTTTGAATTAACGGTGAAAACATCTCAAGTAGAACTGGAAAATTCCAAACAGATTTGCGTCCGCACCCATTCTGCTCACTTGTCAATCCATTCATTCAAATGGATTAACTGGCTCATTGGTAGTAATCTTGCCTCCGAGCCAGAAGGTTGTGGGTTCAAGTCTCCATGAAGGAACTTGTAATTACATAGTCTCAGATGACACTCCAATGCAGTGCTAGGGGGGTGCTGCATTGTCGAAGGTGCCATTCTTTGGATGAGACATTAAACCAAGGTCCCATCTGCCTGTTCAGGTGGACATTAAAGACCCCATATCACTATTTCAAAAAAGGAGGGAGTTTCTCTCTCCTGGTGGCCTGGCCAACAAATCCCCAAAATAAAATTGGGACACTCAACCCATGGGGGTTTAAACATCAATTCGCTGAGACCAGATTTTGCTCCAAGATATTATCCTGGGTTAAATGCTAGTTGTTGCTTTTGATGCTGCAAACCCATTGAGGAAAGACCTATTTTTGAGAAAACATAATTAGATAGCATAGAGGGAGCTTTACTCTGGATCTACCTCATAATGATAATAATCTTTGCATTTGATATACCATCTTATCGGGTTGTTGAGACGACTCGAAGCACTTCATACAATAGGCTGTAAAGTAAATTGTGGGCGAAACGTGGCAGCCAATTGTTCACAGCAGTGTCCCACAAACAGTCGTGGATTTAGTGACCAAATTTTTTTTCTGGGTAAACAGAAGTTGGAGTAAGGAAACACTTCCAAGCCCAACATTTTGCGCTGCCTGGGAATTGAACAAAGGTCCTCTCGCTTGTGAACCAAGTGCTCTAACCAATCACAGAAAGTTAGTCCTCAGGTGCAGCAGCAATTAGGAAGGCGAACGGTATGTTAGCATTCATTATGAAAGGATTAGAGTATAAGAGTTGCTGCAACTGTATAGGGCCCTGGTGAGACCACACCTGGAATACTGTATGCAGTTTTGGTCTCCTTAAGGAAGGATGTACTTGCCTTGGAGGAGGTACAGCGTAGATTTACTCGGTTAGTACCAGGGATGAAGGGGATGAGTTACGAGGATAGGCTGACCAATTTGGGCCTATAATTCTCTGGAATATAGAAGAATTAGAGGGGATCTTATAGAAACAGATAAGGTCATCAAAGGGCAATGATAGAGTAGATAGTGGGAGATTGTGTCCCCGATTGGAGAAACTAAAACCAGGGGTCACCACCTTAAAATCAGAGGCAGCCCTTTCGCACTGAGTTGAGGAAGAACTTCTTCACTCAAAGGGCAGTGAATGTATGGAACTCACTACCCCAAAGGGCTGTTGGCGCTCAGTCCTTGAACATATTCAAGACTGAGATAGATAGATTCCTTATTGCAAAAGCGATTAAGGGATATGGGGATAAGGCAGCGTCAGATTATTAGATAGTGTGTGTGGGTGTGAGAGAGACAGTGTGTGGGTGTGTGAGAGAGATGAAGGGATATGGGGGTAAGGCAGGGTCAGGTTATCAGCTGGAGTTAGATTAGAAGATCAGCCATGATTGAATGGCAGGGCAGGCTCGAAAGGCCGAATGGCCTCCTCCTCCATGTTATGTTATGTTATACTGCACCTGAGCTGGGAGACCTGAACAATGTTAGTGGGGATCAACAATAATAGCCTGTGCTTGGCGCTGGCATGTTCAACTCATGTCAATGAACAATTTATTCTAAAGCCAGATTCTTTTAGTTAGGCCTGGGAGAACAAGTTTGAACATTTCTCTTGGGAGAGGGAGGGAATCAGAGAGATAAAATAGCGCCCCGCCCATAGAAAGATATAATGACTGCTTTTATTGGGCTGACAATACCTGTGTATAATTGCTTCCTTCTCCTAGCACATTGATACTGTCACCCCTTTGATTGTAATTTAACACTGAAACGAACATTTGTACTAAATGGTGGAGTAGGACTGACGGGTTGAATGGCCTTGCTCCTTCTAGGAATGGGGTTCCGTAGCGTATTGGTTAGAGCAAGCGAGAGAACCCGGGTTCGATTCCCGGGCAGGGCGAAACGTTAGGCAAGTTTCCTTACTCCACACACACGCCTCTGTTTACCTAACAGTAAGTGGGAATCCGGATGTTAGTCGATTGCAGGATTGCTTTCCAGGGATAGAATCCCTTCAAAAGAAAAAAAAGAAATATTAATAATAATTTGGTCACTGAATCCACAACTGTTTGTGGGGCACTTGGCTGCTGTGTTGCCCCCAAAATATAGTCAATTCGCTTTACAGTATATTCTGTGAAGTGCTTTGAGACAACTCAACCACGTGATATGGCACAATATCAAATGTAAGGATTATTATTATTAATAAAGATCCCAAAACATGAAGCCTTCTCTTGTTTTGGGTAATTTTCTATATTTCCATTACTGCATTAAGTGAGCGAGTCCGTGTGACTTGGCAGCACAGTTGGTAAAAGCACGAGAAACAAGCTGCAAATGTCACAGAAGGCTTTCTTTATTGACAAGAATTTCACCCAAACCAAAGGAAATCAACAAGACAAATAAAAGAAACATATCATGTGTAAACCCCGATGTGCCACAAAACTGCCCTTTTTGTGTAGACTTGAGACGAGACCTTCAGTCAACGATCTCAGGACACTTCAGATGCTATTGTCTGTGCAACCTTTCAGGCCAAGATTTGGTTACAGTAGAATAAAAAATATTATAATAATAATGACCAGATTATTTATTTATTTTTAAGGGTTTGTTACCCCCGGAAAAACGATCGCCCAATCGACTAACGACTGGGTTCCTACTTACTGCTAGGTAAACAGAGGCGGGTGTGTTGAGTAAGGAAACTTGCCTCAGGTTTCGTCCGACCCGGGAATCAAATCCGGGTCCCCTCACTTGGGAGGCGAGAACATTAACTAATACACGAGAGCGCTAACTAATACCCACAGGACTGCACAATCTTTCCAAAATCCGAGAACGCTGCAAATCCTTCTTGCTGATTTCACTTTTTAAAAAAAAACCTTTGAATTCCTCATTCTAAAGATGTCACTGGTGATTGTACAGTTCAGAGTATGCGATTATCTTGTTAAACAAGTGTGATTTGTTGGCACCGTGGGCGACAGTGTGGAAGCAAGCCAACAGGTGATTTTTATGCAAAGTAAGACTGCAAGCACTCAAAGAAGTAAGAGGAACTTTCTGAGAAAAACATGTCTTAACGTGGTCAAACCTGCAAAGATTGAGTGGAGGATTCCAACCAAAAAAATTACATCAAATGATACTTCATTGCAAGGACGCTCTTAACGTTTCGGATTTTTTTCAATGCGTTTCTCAGGTGCTATGAGCTTTTTTTTTATATGCAGAAACTCATTGCCATGCTTGAGAGCCTCCAAACCAAGCTGAGAATTCCATGCATTGCACCCACACGTGGAGACTACAGACACAGACTGCTGGAACGGAATGCACACGATCTCCCTGGACAGGTTCATCCTGCTTGATCTAATTCCGGAAAGTATTAGGCATAGGTTGGTTGGCAAGAGCCAAGGTTGGGAAACCCCAGAGTGTTTCTTGAGGTAACTGCTAGAGTCTAACCAGCTAAAACCGCGTAGCTTGCCATTGATATCCCTGTCTGGCAAACTTTCCCGTTGCTTGTCCAGCTAGGACCATCCTACCCATTAGGGCTTTGGCTGCAGGATTACCAGTTGAGCGGGAGGATTCCCTGCCCCCAGTGACTGGTTTGCCCTTCCAGGTCCCACCAATGAGCCAGGTTGGGTTGTGCTGCGGTCAGCAGTGTCCTGGAATACTGCGGACCTGCCTAGCTCGGGAACGGGACTAGAGACCGCCTCAGGGGACTGGCTCGATTCCGACATTCTATTGACAAGCCTGTCACCACGGAGCCATTTCAGCCCTTATCCGCAGGGAGGATAGAAAGCTCATCGGGTTAAACACACTCAGCAGCAACAGGGTTTAGCTGTGCCTACAGGATACGTACACGCATACACAATTCCAGCACAGGAGGTTATTTGGCCCATCATGGCTGGCTCTATGAAAGAATCATCCACTGGTTCCACTCGGGGAGAGCAATCAGGACAGAGCGGAGGCAGAGCCTGCGCCTAGCGATCAGCATAAAAGGAGCGGCTGAGGTAAAGCTACTGTCGGCCCGACGAAAAAAGAAAAAGTGACTTCATTTTTCAACAGCAAAACCGAGGACAAACATCGGCAAACTGTCAGAAACTACAACACTGACGGCAAATTAAAACAAGAAAAACAAAAAATAAAAAAAATATGCCCCCGATAGTGTAGCACTCTCAAACCAGTACTCTGTACTGGTGGGTGTGTCGGTGACTCGAGGTCACAGATTCAAAATAGTCTCTAAAAGAAGCCGAGGGGAGGGGAGAAGACGTTGCTTCACGCAGCGAGTTGTTCGAATCTGGAACCCATTGCCTGAAAGGGCGGTCGAGGCCAATTCCATAATTACTTTTAAAAACGCGGTGGACGGGTATTTGAGGAGGACGGGTTTGCAGGTTATGGGGAAGGGGCTGGAGTGGGGGGGGAGCTGACATTAATTGCTCTATTCAAAGAGTCGGCACAAACTCAATGGGCCGAATGGCCTCTTTTTGTGCTGTACGATTCTATGATTCTGTGATTCTGTGATTCTCCTGCCTTTTGCCCAAACCCAGCTTTGCGAGAGTTAAAAAACAACATTCTAATCCTCGCATTTGACACAGCGCTGTAACACGCCGTTGAGACATCTCAAAGCGCACCACAGAAC